GCTGTCGCCTATGTCACATTTCTACCGCCGCTTGGTCTATGCAGGCTCCGCCGAATGGGAAGAGATTGAGAAGACGAAGCAAAGTCAAGGCTGTCGCCGGACTTTTCCGGTGCTTGAGGCCGCACGCCACACGGATCTCAATGCCTACAGGCAGCGTGTCAATGAAGCATTCCACAACGAGATATTGCTGCTGCCACGATGGTGTCATTTCCGGCACCACCAAGTGCTGTTGTTTCGCATGCTCAGCCGCAACTTGTGCAGCACGGAGTTTCTTATCGGCACCACCCATGAGTCATACCCCATCAAGCTCTTCAGGAGTTTGGACGGGGTACATGAGGCGACAAAAGATCCACTGTGCATGCACTGCCCGCTCACCAAGCTGTTGCTCTCGGAGTATAGTGATCTGGGCAGCTCTGAGCCACAAGCTTTGCTGACAGCCCTCGCATCAATGTTTCAGCTACACATTGCATCGATAGAAGCTCGCCACGCATCCACACGCCGAATCACAACGGTGAAATCTGTACAAACACACCGGCCGACACTGGTCGGTGTGGGGGCGGACTGGGTGTGCCGACATTTGGCAGATAAGCTTTCCATTTTGGGGGGATGATGATATATTATATTCTTTCATAGGGACTGTTTCTCTTTGTTTGGGCTTCTTGAGCTCGGCAGCTAAGGAAGCAACAGTGCTCAGCGAGCCCAGTTCTGTCGTGCCGTGGCTTCGTCACCTGCATCTGGAGCAGACACCGAGCCGCCTGCTCAGAAGCAGCCTGAGCGAAAGAATCCTTGGAATGCATTCCTGAGCGAGAAGTGCCGCGCCAGAATCTCTGACCTCGGTGCTTCGTATGCTTCTCTCCGTGAGGAGTACCACAACTTGACACCTGCAGAGTATCAGAGATACGAAGACATGGCAGAGGTGGCTTTTTGTGCAAGAGCCCGTGGTCTGCCGAGTTATGCTCATGCTTCTCTTCCTGCGGCAGCAGCAGCATCTTCAAGTTCTGGCAACGACGTGGCCGTGGAAGCTCTTGTGGCTGTGCCGGCTGCTGGCCACCAGGAGTTGGCAGTTCCTGACAAGGCTTACAAGTTGGTGTCTGCAGAGTTGGAAGACACACTGGACATGGTTCAGAAGGACTTTCGCCGCCGGTCTGCATCGGTGAAGGACTGGTGTGAAATCTTTCACGACAGCCGGGTTCAGC